ATTTCTGCAGTTATGTTGTCTGGACCTGCAGCTTTTCCCTGCTTCATCTGTTTAATTGCTTTCTCTACTTCAGACTTTAATATGTTTGGTCCCTCATGAATATTATGGATTGGCGGTTTGTCACCTCTGTTGTCCCAAAACAGGTCTTCTGTGTATTCAGTCCATCTTTTTATTATATCTTTCTTATCAACAATAATTGTTCCATCCTTCCCCCTAATACAACCATTTCCTGTTAAATGTTTTTCCTTGTTTGTAAGTTTTCTTATATTTGCATGTAATTCCTTGGTTCTGTGTTTTATTTCAAGACTCTCTATTTCTTTGCATTTTAACTGAATCCATGTTTCCTTAGCAGTTCTACACATATTTCGTATTTCTTTGTCTATTAATGAATATTCTGGAGTGTTTTTTGCTTTCTTCCTGTGTGTCATTTTGTTAATAATTTCCTCAGTCATCCATACTTGATTTTTCTTGTTTTCTTTCACTGGTAAGATGGCATTAGCTGTTTCTATACTAGTTTTGAAACATTCCCATTTTGTATTAATTTTGTCCTCTGGATTCTCCCGTCGATATTGTTCCATGCTTTCAATTATTAATCTGTCATATTTATTTTTAACCTCCACTAGGTACTGCTGGCTTATTTCTGGCTGTTTCAAAGCTGATATGTCTATGTGGGGTGACCTTTGCGTTTTTATTCTTGCGTTTTTAAGTTCAATTTGTGTTTTTGTTACCACAGGGTTGTGATCTGAATTTATATCCGCACCTGGGTATGTTTTGGCGTTCTTTATGTTGTTTTTGAGTCTGTCTCTAATCATTACATAGTCAATTTGGTCCTATCATTCATTATCTTTCTAATTTGTGACTATTTCCATTTGGATGTTTTTTTAGATGTTTCCCACGCAAATTTAGATGATTTTGAATATTTTTTGACTATTCTTGATGTTTTGTGTCAAAGAAAAGTGACAACACTGCGCGGGAGACACAAATAAATCATCCTAACAGCGAAATGCAGCGTGAGTTTCAAGTTAAATAATTATGCAGTTGATTGCAGATCTTTTTTTTTAACGTATATGTGTAAAAATACATAAATATAGGACTCCTGTTTAGTTAGATTTTGCACTTATAGTAAGTAAGAATTTGGAAAGAAGGGCGGGGGGCGTATGGAACCTTGGGCTCAGGCTAACCCCTTACTTACCGCCCCCCCCCTTTTTTTTTACCTTAATAATCCACCCCCCCCCCAACCCCATAACGTAACCGTGTACTGAGGCTGTCTTCTTACATATTTGTGTGTACATTTCATATTATTTAATGTTGAATTAAGAATCGACATCACAGCACTGCCATAACTTCATAAGTGCTCTCTCACCGTCTTCAGTAGCAAGCACCAGTAACCACCTGATTGTATATCCGTCTCTTTCTTCCTCTGTTGAGTGTCGGCCAGATCCCCTGGTAACTCCTCGTAGTGTGTAACTCCTCATATTACTTAATCATCAACAGTCTTTAGCCAAGTTAGAAGGAAACAAGACCCTAAAGCAGGTGGCAAGGAACCACCAGACATGAAGAGCTATGACCTCTGCCCTATGCGCCACCCTAGGCTCAAAAGAAAAGATTGACTAACTAAATTATTAGTATCCTTGCCACTGGTCATTGAGGCCAACAGTACTGGATATCTTATATTTAGTGTGATGCAGACTTATTTACTGACTAAAACTTATTACAACCAGTTATATACTTTATGAATTAGTGATGATTGTTAACAAACCTGGAAGGTTGTATATATTTTATTATGTGGATTAGACATGTGAACCTAAAGGTCACATTCCTGTTTGATACCATTCATCATGATTGAATCGTTTTAGCTAGTATTTATTAAATACCACAGCTAGGCAGACATTATAGTTAATGATAACGAAATTACAGATCTCACACAGACTTTGTATACTTGACTTACACAGCTGTATTAGAATCCGGGGAAATCCACATTTACGAAACACACAAATTGGCTCTTTCCCATAAATTATACTTCACCTTAACACCGCAAGGTACAAGAGTACCAAGATGAAATGAGATAACATACACAGTTAACAAAAGTAGGGAGTTCAATAGCAGTGAAGAGGTTAAACAGCATCAAATACTTATGCTCCAACACAAGCAAAGAAACTAAAGTACTTATTAATTTAGTAATATTAGTGGTGTAGTCATTCATAAAATTCATTAAAACAAACAAAAGGTGAAATAGTTTGGCTATTTGACAAGAATTTACTTGTACCAAGTATCATAAAAAGCCAAATGGAAAAAAAAAAATATACTGAATAGCAGAGGAAGGCCATATGAAAGATGAAGCAATAGCATTAAGAACAACCTTAGAGAAGTGAAGAGCAACTTATAAACCACCTGGTACCATTATGTTTATGTTTAGATGACGGATCAACATCATGGCACAAGGGTAGTAACTCCACAAGTGTGCCATTCTACTTCTAACTCAAGCCTGAGTCTGAAGAATCTCAGTGCAATGGCGAGGATCCTGAAAAACGTTCGCCCAGGCAGCACCGTTAGCCTTCTCTAAGGGATTTTTTACCTGTGCAAGAATACACATGGGCGTCCAATCTTACTACCCAGAGACCAGGGGAAATTACTAGAAGTCCACGTGAAAAAATCCCAGCCTTCACTGGGACTTGAACCTAGGACTTGCAGCACTCCAGGTGGACACCATACATCGAGACCACTCAGCTTCCACCTGGTGCCATTACTAACAATAGCATAATGTAGGAGAAGAAATACTGGCACTGTTTTGGACTGGTCTCTGTGAGATTTTGTTTCAGAATACAATTTGGTTCAGTGCCTTGCTAAAAAAGTTTTCAAATTTGACAGCATTTTTTTTTAAAAATTAGTTTTCGTCGTTCCTGTGTGGGATGCAATTTTTTTGTTTGAAACCCTACCCTGGCTTCTGCCGGGGGCCCTGAATATAGCCGGGGAATAGATATGGCCTAGCCATAAATATGGCCTAATGGCTGAAAAGGGTTTCTGGGACCTATCCACAGGTGATCCTCATTCGCATGGTGGCACTTTGTGTCACCAGGTGTTTATCGCTTGTGTCATGTTCTGGTGGGGTACAACTACCTACCTACCTACCTTGATAGCATTCATGTATATTCATGCAGCGGTTTCTTTTTTACTGTATTGTATGAAACTCCAACCTGGCCTGTTTTCCTGTGCTCATTTAACAATTTGCATACTTCAAACTATATTTGCAGCCAGCACAGGTATTGTTCCTAAGAACATTTATACTAGGAAATTATTCCTGTCCAACTCAATGCGAGAGTGTTTATCTAATAAATGTAAGTGTTTATGTTTTTTTTTTTACAATATGCTTAGTCTTTTTATGGGAAGATAACTGAAATTAATATTACAGATTCATTTCTTTTAAGTTGCATTCGTTATACATTATTACTTCTATAATTATTACAATAAACACCTAACCTGCAGTCTGTGGTGACAAAACTATCCATACTGCCCTAAATCCTCTGGCTTAAAGACCCACCTTTGCCCACCGTCATCCCTTTACTACAACACAAATGTGGTAAATGCAAGCAGTAATGGCAGTATAAATTACTACTTACACCAGTGTTTCCCAAACTTTTCTAAGTCATGATGCCTTTTTTTCACTTGAGATTTTTCTACGGCGCTCTAACCTAAGTAAAAGTATGACTATTTATATGTAAGAGATAACAAAAATATAAACTCGTGTATCTTCAAATATTTCGCAGCGCTCTAACCTAAGTAAAAGTATGACTATTTATATGTAAGAGATACAAAAATGTAAACTCGTGTATCTTCAAATATTTCACGGCGCTCTAACCTAAGTAAAAGTATGACTATATGTAAGAGATAAAAAAATGTAAACTCGTGTATCTTCAAATATTTCACGGCGCTCCTGTTAAGAGGACGCTGCTTCTCCGGGTGCCGCGGCTCACAGTTTGGGAATCACTGACTTACACAGTTTCTTTGAACATCGTTGCATTAGCGCAGTTGATAGGAGACGAGCTTTCAAATCCAGCTGTGACTCGCTGCAGCCCATGGTCGGTGTTCGAAACCGGGTGTTTCCCGAGGTTACTCAATCTCTAGGAAATGGATATTAGTTAACACTCTGGGGTAAATGAAGGAACGTCGCTGTAGCTACGGAGTTGCATGCGGACGGCGACACAGGCGGATAGTTTCTCATCAGCTGTCCGTACTGGTGGCAGAGCACTTATGGTTTATAAGCGTGTGCAATGACGCTGGTTCACCCTCCCGACTTTACCTTTTTCCTTTTTTTTGTGGTAATTTTTGTTTGTTTTTGTAAGCTCCAATTTTCATGTCAACGGAAAAATATATCATCAAATTTATTGCTCAGAATAGTTTTAACCACGAAATTGAAATATAACTGTTGACCACATCAGTATATGGATCTAGTGCAATGTAGATGATGTGCTATTAGTGTGAGAAGGGTACTTTACTTAACAGGGCATGTTGGACATTAATTCATGTATATTCTTATTAATTATGTGAAAAAAGGTACTTTACTTAACAGACATATTGAAAATGTATTAGTTTATACTTTTATTAATTATGTGAGAAAGGTACTTTACTTAACAGAGCAAATGGAAAATGAATTAATGTATACTCTTATTATTTATGTGAGAAAGGTACTTTACTTAACAGAGCATATGGAAAATGAATTAATGTATACTTATACTCTTATTAAGTACATGAATAGGGTACTTTAGTTAACAGGACATGTTATAGATTAATTAATATATATTCTTATTAATTATGTGAAAGGGTACTTAACAGGACATATAGGAAATGAATTAATGTATACTCTTATTATTTATATCTTTATTTATACTTACCAGGACATATTGAAAATAAATTATTATATATTCTTATTAATTTTGTGAAAAGGTACTTTACTTAACAGGACATACTGAAAATGAATTAATGTATATTCTTATTAATTGCAGATTTTGCTGTCAGCCAAGACTTTGGCATATCATTACCTTTTATAGATGATATGTTGAACAATCATAGGTATGTTAAATATGTTTTCAGTGTGATGAGTATCAGCGTGTCCTACCTGATCTAAAGCAAATATTCCTTTCTGGACAGTTGAAAATGAACCTTTAATCTAATATACAATGCAATGAACCGTTCACATCATCTCTGCATATTTTCAGTCTAATTTGAATTCATTTCTTTTATAATAATCAGAATCATTCCTAACAAGACATAACCCATTGATCCAAATCCTGGACTTGAGTTGAGTTAAGACCTGGGATCACAGCACTTAGGATGTTTCCATTAAGTGCTACTTCCCCATCGTCAGCAGCCAGCAACGTGTTTGAAGGCTAGTAGTACCAGTAGCAATTATATTAAATGTCGGTGTTAGCGTTACTCTGAGTGTAGACTGTTGGCCAGATTCCCCTGGTCACTCCTTGCTGCATCATTTTTTCCAGACCGTAATGATATTTTTGCACCCTCACACACTGTTCACCTTCTCTCAAAGGGCCTCCAGATCATCTAGCTTGTCCCGCATCAGTTTACCACCCAGTGGGGCAAGTCTGTCTGCCTGTTTATTTCCCAAAACACCTGCATTTCCTAGAGAAAAACAATATAAATTATGCTAACTGCCTTGAACTTCTGAGCCAATGCTTGCCACTTTGCATGATGCAGATTACATAAGATGTAGATTCCAGTAACGCACTCTGCTGTGAACATGTACCGTTCCTGTCATAACTCTGTCTTGTCAGACACATACACTTCACTTCAGATTCACACATCATATCATGTTGTTACTTCTAATATTGTTTCTTCTACTCGAATTTGTCAGTAGAATACCCTTAGCAATTTTTTAAAAAAATCTTTTGTGATTATTCCTGCAGCATGTGCTTTTGCAATGAATCTTCACTTCAACAACAACTGATGGTCCGATAGCACGCAGTGTTACGGGACAGTGGTGATGATGGTCAACTCATGCCATAGTAGTCCATTTTGAGGTTTTTGCAGAGCAACCTGACACAGTGATTGCTCTGGTATTATTATATACATGTCCCTGTGTGGGTTCTGGAGCCCCATTATGGGAAAACAAGAGCAGGCTCACTGCCTCCCCTACAAGCATGTCATGGGAGTCAACTAACTGAACCAATTCAACTTCCTTTTTAAGTCGGAGTGCATCTGCCCGAGTGGCATGGAACAACCATATGCACAAAAATAAGCCAGTAAAACAAATGTACACACAAATTGAGGCCTTGGCACACAGCCAAGTCCAAAAAGACGAACAACTGGGGCTTTCCGCCGGAGCTTACAGCCTTTAAATAAATAAATGAAGAAGAAGAATATAAGATATATTTTATAAATTTTCAGTCTACTTAATGCTAGCTTATGTATACTAAAACCCTAATTGATGTAGAATTTTGGCTAAAGTTTTTTGGAGGATGCGGCCAGTCTTACACCAGCCCTGATTTGTTGTTGTTGTTATTGATCCAGCGGCGCATGAGCTTTCGCCCTTTGGCCCAATGCCACGTAGTGGAATTTATGTGTTTTCACAAGCTGTTCTTTTCCTCCGTACAAGGTGTTCCACTTGTCTGGTCTCGGAGGAAGTAGCATTCTTTTAGGCTCGTCGAGTTTTGGGCACTCAAAGAGATAATGGTCAACAGTTTCGTAGGGGTAGTTACATAGCTGGCACTCTGGGGAGTGTTGTGGCTGTATTCTGTTTAGGTGTCCACTGAGTAGAGTATGTTGTGTTTTGAGTCTGAAAATGGTGGCCTGGTCCCTTCTTATTAAATGGTTAATGCTGTGGTTAGGATCAGGGCTAGCCATGTGTCTATAAACCTCTCTTCTAGTATCTCCCATGGCCCATCTGTTCAGCCAAATCTATTTGTTAATAGCTTTTATAAGTGTTTTTGCTGTCTGTAGGGTTGTCCCTGAAGGTGGTTATTCTTGTGTTGCTCCTTTCTTTGCCAGTCTGTCAGCTCTGTCATTACCTGGCGTGCCAGAGTGGCCTGGAATCCACTGCATCACTATTCTGATGTTGTGTGAGGTAATGAGCTGATCAGCATCTAGAATTATCTTAGCTATGTCAGTTCTGCAGTGTTCACTGCCCTCCAGAGCTTGAAGTGCAGACATTGAATCGGTGAAGATAACAATATTTTGGGCCTTTGAAGGATAAACATCCATTACAGTCTTTAGGTGGTATACTGCTGTTTCCAGTGCAATTATTTCAGCTTCATAATTTGAGCAGAATTCCCCGCATGCATCAAATATCTCTTCAATAGATCCATCAGGGTAACCTATGTAGATTCCGTAACCTGCTTCAATGGTAGCTTTGAATGCAGATCTATCAGTATAATCATTCTTTGGGGTAAGAATCAAAGGTATTTAGTGATGAGTTCATAAGAGTTATTGGATCGGACTGTTTAGTTTCTTCATCTACCAATTTCAACCTGACTTCTGGAGCTTTAAAGCGAGCATGTGGTGGTAAGTTTCTTGCAACATTCTGAGTGCCCTGACGTCTTTCTGGTAAGTGGTATCTGTCCTGTACCTCATATACACAGTGTAAAACTGATTTGTGCTTTAATCTTTGTTTGCATTCCCAATTTTCTTACAATTCTTTCTAATGCATCTTTCATAAATTTCTAAAGTGGCTTTTTTCTCTGCAACCCGAGGGGTTCCACATTTGTATGAATTTCACATGCAGCAGTTGGAGTAGACCGCATAGCTTCGCTGATTAATCGGAGGGCATTATTTTGTACTCTGTCAAGAGACTCTAACTAGCCCTGATCAGTTGCTTCTATGGCATGCATAGTAGGTTACAATGTTAGTCTTCTTTGTTTCTGTTATGGGCTCTGATAACATATGACCATGGTATTGTTTGATAATATAGTTTTTGTCTGCCCTTAAACTAACTGTAATTAAAAAAAAAATAATGTTGTGGCTCATTAGGAAGTAAATTAGAGAATGAGGTGAAAATTTGGGAGAATGTGGGGTGAGCAGTGCCAGTAGGAAATGGTAAAATTACGTGAGGGGTGTGGGGTAAGCTGTACCAATAGCAAAGGGTAAGATGACTTGAGGGCCAAGGATATTGGGTGAGTTGCACCAGTAGCAAAAGGTAAGACGTACGGGCCAAAGGGGGTTGGGTCAGCTGTACAATAGCAAAGGGTAAGATGACTTAAGGGCTGAGGGGTGTAGGGTGATCTGTACCAATACAAAGGGTAAGATGATTTAGAGGCCCAGGATATGGGGTGAGCTGCACTGTAAAGGGTAAGATTATTTGTGGGGTGTATGGTGATCTGCACCAATAGCGAAGGGTAAGATGACTTGAGGGGTGTGGGGCGAACTGTACCAATGGCAAAGGGTAAGATGACTTGAGGCCCAGGATATGGGGTGAGCTGTACCAATAGCAAAGGGTAAGATGACTTGAGTGCCAAGGATATGGGGTGAGCTGCACCAATAGCAAAGGGTAAGATGACTTGAGTGCCAGGGATATGGGGTGAGCTGCACCAATAGCAAAAGGTAAGATGACTTGAGTGCCAAGGATATGGGGTGAGCTGCACCAATAGCAAAAGGTAAGATGACTTGAGTGCCAAGGATATGGGGTGAGCTGCACCAATAATAAAGGGTAAGATGACTTGGGGGCTGAGGATATGTGGTGAGCTGCACCAATAGTAAATGGTAAGATGACTTGAGGCCAAGGATATGGGGTGAGCTGCACCAATAGTAAATGGTAAGATGACTTGAGGGCCAGGATATGGGGTGAGCTGCACCAATAGTAAAGGGTAAGATGACTTGAGGGCCAGGATATGGGGTGAGCTGCACCAATAGTAAAGGGTAAGATGACTTGAGGGCCAGGATATGGGGTGAGCTGCACCAATAGTAAAGGGTAAGATGACTTGAGGGCCAGGATATGGGGTGCGCTGCACCAATAGCAAAGGGTAAGATGACTTGAGGGCCAAGGATATGGGGTGAGCTGTACCAATAGCAAAGTGTAAGATGACTTGAGTGCCAAGGATATGGGGTGAGCTGTACCAATAGCAAAGTGTAAGATGACTTGAGGGCCGAGGATATGGGGTGAGCTGTACCAATAGCAAAGTGTAAGATGACTTGAGGGCCGAGGATATGGGGTGAGCTGTACCAGTAACAAAGAATAAGATGACTTAAAGGCCGTGGATAAGGAAGAAGAAAAAAATTATTGTGATTGCCCTTTTCATATGGCATACTGTATATATAAAATATTTGTTTTGTGTGAGCATGCGTCAGTTTTGTTTCATTTTCTTTGCATCCTTTACTAAATCGACAGAAAAGAGTATAAACAGTCGTGAGGCATTCTAGGAGTATAGAAAAGAAGAAGAAGAAGAAGAAAGATATTCTTATATAAGCGATTGTAAAGCAGTAAACAGGGACTAGAAGACACTTTTCACAGCATTGGTGTATCAGGCATGTGGTGTTAGACATATATGTTTAAAGACCACTTGCCACTAGTTAGGTGATGTGGTGAACAACTTGCGTTTACTTTCCAGATTATTTTCTAATGCCACTTTTAGGCTGATTTCCCATGCCACTTTTATGCTGATTTCCCCTACAAGCAAGATCAGGCATAAAATATATGCCTTTGCACAAATTCAAACCCAAGACCTTTGGAACATTAGGACAGATTTTTGTGCAATATCTATCATACATGCCGTTATATATTTGTAGAAGGTTCAACAAGGGCACCATTCTGCGCCTTCAGGCATATAGGGTAAGACATGTATTTTATAGCTCAATCAGCACTTGGTGGGGGATGTGGTCAGCATCACACCGGCTGGGTCTACTTCCTAGGACTTTTACCAGGTATCCATTCAAGGCTGGGTCGAGCTGGGAGCCAAGGTCATTTTTTGAGAAAAAAAAGTCCGGCTCCATCCGGACCTGAACCCTTAAACTTCTGATCCGCAGGCGAGCATCTAGCCGTTACGCCACTGCAGCTGCCATAAGGGTAAACAAGAGACATTTATCCTTGTTAATGAGTTTCATCAATTATTCTTTCACAGGAAATGTCCCTACTGGACCTTGTTGAGACAGTTCTGCCCCAGTGATGTCGTAGATACACAGAAAAGTGAACATGTGATGCAGAAAAAGAAGCGCAGGAGACTGTCTTCATCTCAGCTACTAAAAAACCATACTGCCACTCACAGTGTCTATCTGTTTCTACGTACTGTCTCTAAACATGTGATACCACTGAAGGCACTTGGCAGCAAGCACAATTTTAGATGTTTTCTTAGACATGTTAAAAAGATGCTGTCAGTACAGATGCATGGACAGATTTCGTTGGATCATATGGTTGATGGAATCAAAACAAAATCCATTGCTTGGTTACAGTCAAACAGTCAGAACCAGAAAGCAAGTCTTCTGAAGAAACTGATTGATTTTCTCATCACAAGATTTATCTGCCCATTAATTCAGTCATTTTTTTACGTCTCTGGGTCTACATCGTGCAAAAACAAGCTCTTCTTCTACAGGAAGAAAACCTGGCACAGACTGCGGCAGTCTGCTTCTAGTCAGTTTATAAATTCATGCAAGCTGAGGAAAGTTTCCGAATCATGGGTACAAGCAAAACTAAAGGAAGAAAAATGTTTGGGGGTTTGTAGTGTTCGTTTCCTAGTGAAGTCTTCATCCCTGAGACCAATTGTCAATCTTTCACGAGTCACTAACAACAGAGCATCTGTGAACAACCATCTGAAAGCTCTTTTGCATGTGTTAACTTTTGAGAGAGAACAGACTCCTGAAGTGTTTGGTGCTACAGTTTTAAATGTTGAAGAAATTCATGCCAAATGGAGACTGTTTGTTTCTGAATGTAAAAAATACAACGTACAGGAATTGTATTTTGTCAAAGTAGACATTGAGAAGTGCTTTGATACAATAAATCCTTGCCTCCTATATAGCATTATATCAAGAATTATAAAGAGATCATTTTACAGAATTTACAAATTTAGAAAACATGTTCGCTTAAATGGGCAAATCAAGTCAGTTTATTTTGAAAGTTGTAAGTATGCTAGTGAGATCTACTGCAATAAGAAGAAAAAGATAGAAAGTTGTGGATCTTATGTAGTTACTAGAGAAGTACTGTTAAAAAAGCTATGTGCACTTTTGTTTTGTTTTGTAGCTAAAGTGGGAAGTCAGCATTATGTTCAAACTCTTGGGATACCCCAAGGATCACTGTTGTCAAGTATTTTGTGTGGTGCATATTATGGGCATATGGATCAGGTGTTCCTAAATGGTGTCCGAGGTGAGGATGATTTTCTGGTGAGACTAGTTGATGATATCCTTTTTGTGACACCCTGCAAAAGACATGCTGACAATTTGTTGAGGACTATGCTAGATGGCATACCTGAGTTCAACTGTCGATGTAACCTGAATAAATGCTGTGCCAGCTTCCCTTATCATCATGCTGTTCTTGGGGATGTGCCTTGTGTGTCTAACAATTCCCCGTTGATATTCTGTGGCCTGGCATTTGATACTCGAACATTGAATGTCACCTTAGATTTCTCAAACTATAATAATATTCAGACAGAGGATACTATTTCTTGGGACTTGACCAAACACCCAGGATCTGTCATTCAGAGTAAAATCATCTCTCTCGTTCACCCAAAGTGCCTGTCAATTTTGTTTGATAAAGACATCAACTGTACAGACACTATTCATTACAATATTTTGTGTATATTTTCTGTGTCTGCTGTAAAGTTTCACTGCCTTGTTATGCAACTGCCACCAAAAAGGAGAATCCTGAATAACCCAGCGTTCTTCACAAAAGCCATACTAGGTCTTCCTCAAACACTGCTAGCCTGTGCGTCACAGAAACTGGCAAGACTCAGTTCACCAGAGGCACTGACTGTCCCTATCTCTGCTGAGGTTGTCCGCTGGCTTTGTGTGCACAGTTTTCTGTTCAAACTCAAAATGCATCATCAGATGTATGCCCCAGTTATAGAAAGTCTGCAGCATCTGCAAGAAATCAAGCTAGATTACAAAGTCTCTGTGATGCTGCCGCGGATATTTGACTGTATTTATATTAAGTAGAGATATTTAGATAGGCAGTGATGAAGCATTTTTGCTAATGTTGTCGTATTGTAGGTAAGTTTTGAATCCAGCGTTGTAGTTTTAGCGTTTAAAAATTTAGATTTTAATGTATTTTATATATATGACTGAAATATTTCACTTGTCTTATTTTTATATAACTCTTTGACTTCAACATTTTTTTCTGGGGTTTAGACAGCATTTTTTTTTTTTTTTTTTTTTGGGTTGCATTTTTTTTACTGCAACACGACAAAGCTAAAACCGTTTTGACGAAAAAGTATTAGCTGTATGGGGACATATAATATATCAAACTAAAGATAAATGAGTGCAGAATAAATCTAAACTATTTAAATATCAGTACTACAAAAAAATATTGTTAAAATCACGCAGCATGCAAGGAAAATTATTAACATACATATGTTGTGCTTACCTTACTTTTTTACTTGTTCAACAAAACTGCTATACTATTCTAAGACTGCACATGCTTTCTCTGTTCAATTATGTATTAGCTAGTCTTTATTTGAAACAATTAAATACTTTGGATGTTATAAAGACATTTTTTTGACATGTCAAATTTCACAACAACCAAAAATCTGGAAAACAGCTGATCGAAACATTGATCCGATTGAAATATTTTGTTTAGTTTTCATATCCTAAACTAAATTATCACCAATAGGTTCCTCACTTAGATATCAATCATAATATCAAGACTGTTGTCACCATCTGGCAAAGATTCATCAACGACAGAGCAGTATGAACAGTTCTAGACCGTTTCCCTTATCATTTAGTATAGAAAAATCATGTAAAAATTTTATCCTATCTAAAAAAAATTTAAAAATACGAAAATAATGCACCGACCACGATGAACTTCGCAAACGAAAGGACATCCTGTTGTTAATCCTAATTGTTCAAAAACTTGTTCATAAAAGTTTGTTTTCCCCACAAACGGAACAAAATTAGAGTGTCTCTATCATACACCAATATACTGGCTATTTGTCCATAAGGGATACATTTATTCGCCAGTATACTGGCGAAACATCTTTAAAGAGTTAATTCAGTAACCCTGTTCTCATTCCCAGGCTCTCTAGAGACTCTATATTTGGTTATCTTTGTTTCCATGACATATCTTTTTTTTTCTGTATACCCACATCTCAAAGTCCTGAATGTGAATTTCTAATTGCTTGTCCACTGTCCAGATTTCTGAGCTAAAAAGAGCAGTATGTACATTTGGCAAATCTCAGTTTTAAATGTGCTGTTTATCTCTCTATATAGTGTTATTTTTCACATATTGCTGGAAATATTTTTTCTTTTTTTTTTAAATTTCTTTCATCATTTTTTATTGTAGTCCAAGATAGGAAACACTTGTAATTTATTCTAGTATCTCTGCATTTACTCTGATATTTATTTTCGACATTGATTACAAATTATAAAAGTATTTTTGTGTGTGTGTCTAAAGTGTCATTTTTACTATGTTTAATAAAATATTAATATATAATGCGTATTTAGCATGGCTTTTCCTAGTGAACAGTTTCTTAGGTGCATGGTAAAAGAGTGTATAAAGGGTATTGAGATGTTTCTCTTCGTAAGGTTCCTCTACCTTCCTCATCTTAGCGTTCACTGGCTGTAAACTCTGGTAGAATGTTCTACACTCCTGGACTTTGCCTTGTTCCAGAACTGGAGTGTTTTATGCACATCAGTTTTACAGATCTGGTTTATCTGTGTGCACACTGTTGGTTCCTTGCCTCTCAGGCAGATGCCCTCTGATTTCAAAGGAAACTTCAGCCCGATCTACGTTGGCAAGGCCTTTGGTAGAGAACCTGTTTCTGGGACTACCGCAGATGTAGATAGTTCCTGACTCTGTGAGCCCTAGTCCTCCTTATCATCATCATTAAGTGGCTTGTCAGTCGGCATAGACGCTCATGCATCTCCATAGATCTTGGTCTTTGGTTTTCTAGATCAATTGCACTGATGATATTCCTCCATGCAACTGTCTTTAGCCACCTACCATCATTTCTCTTGGTCTGATCTGCATCTTCTACCAGTGATCTTTCTAGTCGTCACAATATTTTCCAATACTTCCTTTCTCATCACATGACCAAAGAACTTTGTCTTCTCATGCTCTTGTCCTGCTGCACCAAAACTCCAGTTCTGCACTTTTGCATCCCGTTCCTGTAGTAAGACCTTTGATTATTTTACTGATTTCAGTGTTTGCTGTAGGTCTTCCTTTTCTAATTGTTGTTCATCACTAAAATCAGCTATTGGAGCATATGTCTGTATTATATTATTGCTATGTCATTAGGGGTCTTGTCTTATTTTAATTAGTAAAATTCGAGTCCAGAATCCAAAAATACTTTTCTCTGCATTTCTTTTTGCAATTTCTGCTTTTTTTCCCCCTGATGTTCAACCCCAGAGCTAATGAATTAATATATCTGTACCTAGCAAATTTTTTCCCTCATATTATTGGACTTCCACCAAATCTAAAACAAATGTCAGGAATTACCCTAGGAAATAGAAACGGCTAGCATGATGTTGATCATGTCGCTGTTTAAGTGCTGATTGTCTTTAAAAATATGATTTGATAAGCATTTTTAGTAACATACTGATTGGCTCTCTTAGATGGAAAACAATGCAGATATGAGGGTACACACTAGACTGTCATAAAAATCGCAAGTTACAGTGACCACATCAGTGATTGAATCAATCACTTCCAGATAATACAAAATATGAGTCTGGCATTATGTGCCTAATATGTCACTTGTGTTGAAAGGGTCCTTTACTGTTCTTACTATATCTAAAATAGCTGGTGGGGCGCTGATGCTATGAAACGTTTCTTTGTTGCCAGCTATGTTTTACTGAAGCAAATTCCCCATTTCTGGAAAGGGAAGATTCGGTCGTCCACCTGCTGGTTGAATGCTCGGTGCGACACAGCTGTAGATCTCATGTGGAATTTTTATGTTGTGTCAATGTCATGTTGTTGATTGCACTAAAATGGCGGATGGCCAGCTTCGATCACAATGGTGTATTCTTTTGCAGGCAATTAACCATTTACACCTATAGTGAATTGCAGTTCTGGCATGGGACTGTTAGTGTTGGCTCATCTGATAGCTGCTTGTGTGTTTTAACGTTACTTTTGCAAGCTTCACGACTTTGCTGGGACTGACAAGTTAATCATTAGTTTTCAAATGGGACAGTGATGGACATTTTGTGTAATTTCCACTGGCACCAGAAACGGAGCAGTTATGGGATCACTTATCTGCGGTGATGTTGGAACCTCGATTAACTAACTATATGTCTGGTTTCAAAAACATCCTAAAATATCCAGATCCATATTCGTTGTTTCCTAAATTGGACAAACTTTCCTATTTAATACAGGTTATGGGCATCCCACATTCTAATTTTGGGATATTGTTTTCTACTTTTCATGTACATGTTTTTGCTAGATGCTTTGCTAAAAAAAAATTGTCACATTCAACTAGTATCCCCAAAGGGGGGGGGGGGGGGGGCTTTAGGCTTTGATTATGACTAGTTTATGTGTGCCATATAAAATGGCTTAGCATTGCACGCCACCAAGAACCATGAAAAGGACTCCTGCAGTGTTGATGCGGTCAAAGAAGACTGAACCATTACTGCCCTGATCGGAGATCGAGTCGTCTACCGGCGAGCCAAGGCGACCCTGTCATCGATAATGTACATGTTTTCAGCATGCACACTTTTAAAATAACCAGCTATGCTTCCTGTCACTTATATGGGGTTTACATGTGCTACCTACTTTTTAAGAAAAAATGTGCAACGTCCTGGAAGGTTAAATGGTAGTTCACTTACCTTCAGTTCCCTAGCATAATGGGATCATCTGACATAGATATACTGACTGAAAGATAAGCAGACTAATAAAGAAATTGGGACTGGGTGAGTAGATAGATAGATATACTCCATGGCAAGGTGGTAAAGCCGTTTGCTTGTGCTCTGATGGTCGTGAGTTCGTTTCACGGCTGCGCTTTTCAGTTCAAGAGTGCAGTTTTTAAGGCGATTCCTGGGGATCGTTGCCAGAGCTACGGAGTTCGTGCTTGTGCGACTAGCCGTTCTGTGGAGGGAGACTGAGCCATATGGGATAAAACCCAGTAAAATGAAGTCGATCTTCTCAACTTTAACCTTTATAGATGCACTTTGAGTAATATTCTGTTTTTGGGTAATTTCTTATTTCTTTTTCTAACAATGGTCACAGTGATGCTTTACAAAAGGTGTTTTTTTTTTTAAAGTCGGGTTCTGTTTAAGGAGTTAAATACCTTGTGGTCACACTTGATTGAACAGCTTCAAAGTTAATATGAGAATTTCATGAGGGAAAATGTTTCGCTGTTGCCATTTACTATACCAAAGTGTGCATACACAACACTCTCCTTGACTGTCTACGTGCCACTGACGATGGGGGGGGGGTACACTACATGTCTTTTTCTTCGATCCTTCTGTCAGAAAACTTGTATCAGGACCCCAGTAGCCTTTTTGAAGGTCAGACTGTATGTCATCATCCTCATCATCATAAACCACTTCTGCCGTTAAGCGTCGTAGGGAGGAATAATTTGCGATCCAGAGCACGTTGGCTGCCAAGGGCCGTGAAGGCGTAGAGTGTCTTTAGTGTTGTCGATTCATATTTTCCTAGATATTTAAACTCCTTAACTTGATTCAGAGCAGAACCATTCAACTGTATGTGTAGTGGGGCAGGGGTTCTACTAACTTGCATTGTTTCGGTTTTGTTTGCATTGATCTTCATGTTGTGTTTACTGCATGCGGAGTTTAACCTGGTAATGTTGTCTTGCAGTCTATCTTCTGCAGGGTAGAACAGGCACTGGTCATCAGCAAATAGTAGTTCGTTTAATGTGGGTGAATCAATCACTTCTTCTGATGTGTGTACTTCCTCATGATTATAAAGATCTATGTTGTCTGTATGAGAACTTGCTTCTTTAGATATTCTGTCTCACACCTGTGTTGACTGTGAACATATCTGATAT